CTTCACCACTAACTCATTAGTAGGAGGCTCAAAAAGTCTATACTTTAAATATTGTGTGAATACACCTATTAAGGAGACGACCTTCTATTCCTTCGATTCTGAATGTAAATTACGTTAGCAAAATACGGCAGGATTGGCTGTAACATTGAGCGGCGAATGGGAAACAAATTTCCTCGTCCTTATTACTATGTCGCAACATGGTCGATATGCAGTGGTAAAACGTTCTAAACGGATTAAACAATTATCTTATTTGTGTGACCGTTTGTTTTTTATAGAAAGATGTATGTTGTTGATATTATTCTTTTGATGAATATCCATTACTTTGTAAATACTTCTGTTACAAAATTTAGCGCAACCATTATTATATAAGGTACGTTGGGGTAAGATCGGTGATGGGGCAAGACCGTAGGATTCAAATTCCCGGCGAATTATGCTATATTTTGAAAAGCTAACAATATGCTACACGACGCCATTTCATCCTGCCCCGACCCTCAGTTCGCGCTAGTCACTCCGGCAAGTGGGACCTGTGCTGCGTGGCATTTTATAAAACAATGTAATTTTTGTATTATTTTTGTCCATCCGATCTTTCCCTATCACTTTTATTTACGATTTTTAGCGAGAATATGACTTCTTTTGTTATTATTTTGTGTGGATACTAATTTTTATGAAGTTATAGCTAAATAAAGCTGGTCCATGCAGGGGTAAGATCGCTGTAGGCCGAGATCCGATGTTTCCCCTCGTGAGTGAAGATCGGATGAATATTATCCGATCTTTGCCTGTTACAAATATGGCAGTGGTTGTTAAACTTTCATTGGTCGTGTATATTTTTTCGTTGATTACTCAAGTGACTATGGGACTCAGTCTCGTTAGCAAGTCTGTATATTTAAAAGTAATAAAACAATACGATGGTTTTATTACTTTTAAGTACACATTAAAATACATTTTTTTTATAGGATAAGGGTGACAAAGGAGCACACAGTCCACCTGATGTTAAGTGTTTACTGCGGCCCATAGACATCTATATCTATCCTCTATTACAAATCAAAATGTAATTTATAAGTAATAATTATTTAAAAAATAATTTATAATAATAAATGCCGCTTTGTTAAAATATTTATATCTTCCTTAACTCCTGCATTATCCCAGGGCCGTTCGCCAGTCCTTACTGTTATTTTTTTTCCCATATAAAATCAAATGCATCCGATCTTTCTCTTATATTGAGTAATTCCATCTTATGTCATAACAAAGTTTGAGAAACATAAAATTACAATTTCTTTATATCAGGGATAAGATCGGATGGCAAAAAACAAAAAAAGAGAAAATCGTTTGGAACATTTATGTTTCTAGTAATTTATAGATCATATTGAAATATGTTTTTGAGCGTTAAATATAGGACAAATCTCTTTTATAAACTTTTTTCTCTAAGCAGTAGAAGTGGTTTTAAATTTAAGTCCGGTCTTACCCCATAATGGCCAATTTTTCATTATGCATATAAAAAAGTATGTCTAGTTTTCGCACACCTTTAAAGCAGAAACCGTTGAGTTTACACAAGCAAAAGATTCTCAGAGCTAAACTACGTTTAACGATTAACGGCTTGCTCCAGGTTCCATAAATCTGACGTATACGAATGTCGAGAAATTAAAGTTTTTGGCAGACTCTTCCAACTATTCGAAAATCCGTCCGGTATTACCCCAACGTACCTTAATGAATGATATTAGGCGAGCCGTGGTAGCAGCTCAGGGGCTTAGCGCTCGCTGTAAATTTCACAATACGCGAGCAATTTTAAGTGTTGATTTACGACGTGCTCGATGGTGCAGAAAAACATCTTGAGGAAACCTACATGTCTGAGAAATAAATAAAAATATTTCGAAGACGTGTGAAGTCCGCCATCACGCAATGGGGCAGCGTGGCGAACACTTCCTTGCCCTAAAACCCTCTTAGAAGTAAGGGAAGGCCTATGCCCAGCAGTGGGGAGTATATATAGGTTGTAACTTTACCTTTTTAAACTTTTATTAGGTATAATATAAAAATTGATACAATATCGGTGTCAATTCAGGTAAATTACATTAATTACCCATAGTACTAGTTCTACAAGCAAAGATACCGTACGGGCTTTTCCGGACGGACCGGACACTACGGGAACGGGCGCGGTCGTTCACCAGCGGCCCAGGCCCTTTGTCCCGTCTACAAACAAACCTGAGATTAGACGTGGGCGTTATGTCACGTCACTAGTTACAATAACTGGCTATGCGGCATGTAACCGAATCACTAGTTTAGAGTCATATTACAAGTAGTGAGTTTTGTAAATGCGTTATTACTGTTAACTGTGATTGTTGCGAGAGTCGACTGTCGGTCGGTCAAACGCAAAGCGCACATGTGGCATACAACAATAAACAAAACAGCGTATGTAACAGTATTATTGTACGTTTAATTTTCATACGTAAGACTATAGATATAGACAATATAAATAGAGTGATCTTTGTTTGTAAATGATTTCAACGGTTTGCAATTCTGGGAAGCGATAGTCACAATGAATTTGAGTAAAATAATTTAGTTTGTTTTAGTTCATCGTTGTACTTGTTTATAACTTTGAATATTATCTTGTAAAAATTTACATTTATATGTTATTTTGGTGTTTTATGTACATTTACTGTAACATTTCTTTGTTATTATATTATATAAATATAATTAGTGTGGATTGTACAAGTTTAAATAAACTGTGAATATCAATAATCACTGTATATACAATCAAATTGACTTGTAAATACCCCTGCATTAATAATTTTATGAAAATCTTAGTTTCATAGTAAATACAAAACAATCATAAATACATTTAATGCAGTCAGTTCTAAGCCTGAATAAAGTATGAAGTTAATTTATTGATTTAACTGTATAGCTAGAAACACTTAGATAGTGATTAAATTTATTTTCGTTTCGTGTGTAACTGTATAGTTCTTGGTGGTATTTATGCAAACAATCACAGTAGCCAAATAAAAATAGCCAGTTACAAAAATCACTAGTTTTGAAACAGGTAACGCAGACGAAGTCACTGGTTTCGTTACGTTTCTTGAAAATGACGTAACGACCCACGTCTACCTGAGATATGAGATATATAGATATACGCTGGAGCTTGTCGACCAGTGTTGCCAACACGGAGTTTTTAAAGCTAGATTTAGTTCTTATGAACTTATCAAAAAACTTATCTTACTGAACTTAAAAAAAAATTGTTTCTCTTTAGTTCCACAATATTTAATTAAGTTTCCTTTAAAACACTAAATATGATGTCAAGGTATACTACTCTAGCGATAGGGCATATAGTTTCATTGATAGTCGTTAAACTGTTTAAGATATAAGTTGTCGGTTTGTTACCTATCTACCGAAATATACTTAAAAACGTTCTGTTTTGAGAAAGAACGAACAAGCACTATACTTACTAAGTTATTTGCGTTATTCATTCAGTATTAAGTTACGAATTCAGTCACATCGACTAAATAGGTTGGAAATTAGTTTACTGTGGATATTTTCATAGTACTTCCTTGAAATTGGGAACTGTAAAATATACTGACGATGGAGTGACGACTCTTCCTTCAATTAGTCGTAACCAGAAATCCCATCGGGTTATCAAACTGTTATTGTATCTTATTACTTAAATTAATATCGAAGTCTTATAAATTCATGTAATATATTCACATTAATTTATACTCAGTTCGATTAATTAAGTTTGCTAATTATTAACTAAATTTTATTGTCATCACTGAATTCGTTATTACGAAGGTATTGTTTTCGAACAACAAATTGACCTCATTTCTATCAATAATAAGTAATTTAGGATCCTTGTTATAAAAATGTACATGTACACTCCAAAATATCATTATATAAAAATAATAAAAATCTGGTTGAAATTAATACGGGACCACTGAAAGGTGTATTTACACTTTTGATAAAATAAAAATCGGCATATCAGTCAAACTATAATAGCTATCGTCGGATTTATTAGTACAATAAAAATATTATATGTGATTATTATACTATGTATTGTTATTATATTATTTATAAAATAACAGAAACAACTGTGATTTCCAATTAGTTAACAGTGTTGGTGCAATTGAAAAGAGTATCACCGTACAAAATTCCAATATTGTTAAATATTCGTCTCTACAAAATTTGAAGTTGTTGAGAAAAATTATCATTGATAGATTTGTCGTTTTATTTTGAACAATATTGGAGAGTTATATGTAAATCATATAAAATAGTTATTTGTTGTTTTTGTCATACAAAGTAAATTTAGTTCGTATGTAAACTAAGTTGTACGCTCACAAAAGTTGCTATACCTACCTATATACCTACTATGTATTTCCATCCTTTTTTAATAAAAGTCAATATGATTTTCCCAATTTTAAATTCCCAATATTTGTATTTAATTTGGTAAGATTTTGAAGTACAGTAATGGCAACACTTTATTTTGACAGCTAGCCAGCTGTGTGTGGATTGAAAAATAATGTCGAAATGCTGTAGCTGTCCTTGATGTGTCATCCACTACGATAATTCCCTTGAAACGTGGTATTGAAATAATTAAATTAGGTGTGTTATATATTTAAAAGTATCTTCTAAAAGTTTAATCACATTTTGTGCCAATCAATCTTGTTTCGGTGGCAGGTTCCTTCTACAAATGAATTGTTAAAATGTTTATGTAACGTAGCATTGTTCACATCGCTGACTGTAAATTTTATCTTTGTTCCAGATAGCTGCGCAGTAAATATTAATCAGTAGGTGTGGTGCTGTACCGAGTGCTGATCTTGTGTGGAGTGAGTGTGACGGTGACAATAACTAATAGGTGCATCTCGTGGTGATGTGTTAGTGAGAAGGGTGATAAACGCGGTGCAGTGGATGCAGAGGCAGCGGTTTAGCGCTCGCCCGGGCATGGTGCCAGGCAGGTAGCGGGCGCGGGCGGCCTGCGCAGGCCCCACACAAGCAGCCGCGTGTGTTTCCCAGCGTCGTCTATGGCCGAGCAACACATTACACCGTCGTCGCACTCTGCACTCACGAGAGAGTCCAGCGGGTGAGACCAATCATGTTAATTATTAAATAGCATGTATCTTAATTATGTAAATTTAAAATAACTTACGAATGATGTTAGATTAGTAATCTGAAGTGGCAATGATCAGATCATATGTTTCGATGAACCAACAACAGATGGGGAAGAAAGGTTCTCGAGTGGCAGAAGTACTGATGAGTACTGGTGAGCGAAGTGTAGGACGGTCCTTCACTAGTTGGAGTGAAAACCTAGTAAGATATGTAGGAAGTCTGTGTCTTCCTTGGGGGATGACTTTTCTGCAGTGGACTTGTGAAGGGCTGTAATGATACCATACGTCTTTAAGCAATGTGAAACCCGTAGGCCATTTTGCTTTCTAGTGAAATTGACTTCTTTTTTCACATAAATCCCTTTACGATAGCACCAATACAATTTTTTTTTTAATAATAAGTATTATGGACAATGAAATGGGTTGGACAAAATAGTAGATAAACAATTCTCAGAATTACTGAAAATCATATTGTGTACAATAAAGAATATTTTGATTGATTGATAATATAAAGACAAAATACTAAATATGGTAACTAAATATCGGTTGTATACGTTAGAATAAAAAAAATTGGACATGAAGGCACATTGGGGCACAGTGATTATTAGTCAAACTGAAATTAATGGTATAGGCTTAGACTAATGTCCAATATTCTCAAAATTATATTTTAAATTTTGTTTTTATGGGTTTTAAAATGGCGACAATTTGCTAACAGCCTAAACGGTATTTTGGGGGTCTCATAGTCTTGGTAGCTGTACTATGTATGTTATGGATTAAATCAAGAAGCCATTGGTTTTTAATCAGTTCTATAATAGGATATTTTTATTACGCTGTATAGCAGTTTTTTCAACATAACATATAATTTGCTTTAGAGACCTTGTCTTGGGAACAGTGTTGGATAAATTTAATTTAGATTTAACATGATCTTTTACTTTTCCACATATTGATAACAAATTAATATTGTTCACTAGCACAATATAAACACGAAAGGCATGCAAAATGGCGATATTCTGTCTTAACTGTTTTAACTGGTACTATGGCTGTTATTTATTTTTTCAGTTTTATATCACTCATAACCATATCAATAACTTTTAGAAGACAGGTTGCATACACCATTGTCCAGTAATAAGATTTTAGTGATAATATAATAACACTTAAGAGTTGTATAAGCAAAGGACAGCATGCAAAAAAAACAGCTTCTATACAACTTTAATGATAAAATCAGATTGAAGTGTTACAAGATTCTTAAAGTTGTTTAGTAGAGTTTTCATATTCTGATTAAGAATCCTAAGCTTACTTAGATCTCATAATACAGATTTTATACAGCTTGAGCTGTATAAAGTCTTTATTATGAGATCTCTATAACTCATAAACCACTCTTATAAGGATACAACATCTTTTAAACACTCTTATACACTTGAACTCTAAGTTCTATGTGTGTGGTATATTGATGTTCATAAAACTTGTGTACTGCTAGACTGCTAGCTAAAAACAATTTGGCTTCTAGATAAAACATCCTTACTTTCCAAGAATCATTCCAATTATTTTTATCAGATGTTCCAGAAACTTTGCTATTGTACATGAACAAGCAATTGGTCTGTAACTTGAAGAAGCATTGCTACCTTTACCTGGTTTGAAAATGTGTAAAATTATCAGTGTTTCATTCTTTGGGTGGAATTCCGAAGTTAATTACTAAATAAACTATGGGAAGGACTAGCTCTCGATGAATGGCTATGTAATGGTTTGACTTACTGCACTAAATCAAGAAAATCTAAAAAAAAGTTATATTTTTATATTCTATGAATTAACTGCTTTGCATAAAGAAGCATTGTAAAACTGGACAAGGGCCTTAATTGCCATTATTGGCTGGCAAATTGGTGATTGCACTATGAGATATCTCTCCACACATGTCTTTAGAATCTACTCCCCTTGACAGTATGAGTTTTTTTTTACATCTTTATGCTGGTTAAGTGCTGGAACTCACAAACATAGTTTCAAAAGACATTGATTCGTTTTTCATACATAATATGTTAAGCATAATGTCTTATGAGATTTTGTAGTGGGGAAATTTGGCTGATTTAGTAACTATTTTTGTTTTGCAGAAGAAGGCCATTAGAGCTATTTACAATCCAAAACCGAGTGTCTCTCAGAGAGAAATTTAAAGAAATAAATATATTAACTTTGGTCAAAGTAATTCATGGGGCAATGTATATGATATTACAACAAGTCCCAGAAAATATACAAGGTCTCTATTACCAAGTTTAAATATTTTATTAAACAAAAACTGTATAAAAAGGGTTATTATAATTTAAATGAATACAAGGCTGATAATAACCCCTGGGAATGAGGTAGTTGTTACCAAGCTATTTCTAATTTGATTTGTGTTGTTAATTATTGTGGTCTAACATTAAATAATTATACTGTTCTTAAAAAATTCTAGCTGGTTTTTTTGCCGGTTCTTAACAGGACAGAGATTTATTTTTCCGAACTAGAGGTAAAAGAATAAATAACTTTTAATAAGCATTACTTGTAGTCTATATTGAATAAAAATTATTCTAATTTTGAAGTTGGAGTGTCAGTACAAAACATTGATGGGCCTGTATTTAGAGGTGAATATTTGATTGTTTTTAAACATGGCAAAAAAATTGTGTTGTAATAATTATGCATATTCAGAAACAAATGCTATCTAGTACTTTCTTCTTCACCAGCCCCTTAAATTATACTGCTGGGCCAGGCATCGTCAACCTTGGCAGGGAGATTGGCTTGACCCACAGGACAAAATTAGGTGATGAATTGTCTAAGGCTGCACCACCACTGCAATGCCAAGTAAAAGTAAAGTTATAAGTAAGATTAAATAGGTATTTTTTTATAAATGTTTTGCTAAAAAAATGCAGCTAAAACATTTTAATTATTTTAATACTTGACTATGACCGCATTTCAAAATTCAATTCTTATGTATAAGTTACTTGTTTATAACCCTTTTACTTGTAACATAAATTTTCTCACAAGCCATGTAAATAGATTAGTACTCATTGTCAAACTGACAATTATTTGTATATTATACTGTGTGTTGATTATCAATCATCTTTGAGTAGCCAGCCAATATTTGATAATGGTTATATATAATTTACTCTCATATGCTTATAACTTTCCCCAGTTTATATTATTCAAGTTTACACACAAAAACTATATGGGAATTTGTCTGTTTCTCTGTCCTGTGTCATAGCCACATCACATATTTGGCCATTCTGTTGATGAAATGTTGTTGATGAAAAAATTGAGATATCCATTGCATGACTTAAAACAATAATATTACAAATATTTTTAATGTTTTTTTTTTTCAACTTTCCATGTTTTGTGGGAATCATTACATGAGTGTGTTTTTATTTAATAATTGGGTTGTGTGTTATACACTTATCAATTCTGGTTTTTCAAATATGAAGCTACAAAGAAGTCTGTGAAGATGGGAAAGCCATCTTAACTTTTAAATAATGCCACTCAAAACTCTACATATAATCTACATAGGCAATATTTGTTTTACTTAACTGGTCACCTTCAACTGTAATAGTAATACCACATGAGTAAAGAAACCGTACAGAGGCAAAGCTTCTAACGAGCTGTCAAAATTTTTACCTATTTTGGTAGGGTTGGCACAGGAGGATAAAATTAAGTAACAAAACATTTATCAGCTTTTATTATATAAGTACTTAAGATACAATATTTTTTTAAAACTACTTTTTCTAAATATTTAATTTTATAATTTTTATTCTCCAACTATTTGTTGTGTCTATTAATTAAATGGTAAATTATAATCTATTTTAAAGTATTAGAAAGCACTCACATTGCATAACAAATATGTATGCGATCTTGCATGCGTAATATTTTACAGTTCTTTTTTTAGAAAACTTAATACAGAATTTTTCAGTGATCCTCACTGATTATATATCGTTGTCTTTTTTTATAACCAAAACTTTTAAAAGGAGATCTTCTCGTCCAACAGCTTTTTACTAATCTTGTCGTCTGAAATTATAATTACAAACCACGAACCTATGTTTTTAATTTACAAACATAATTATTCAATTATAAACATTATAAAAATAACTATTCAATCACTTATAGGTAATTAGGTACTTTTACACGTTTTCTTTCAATGTTGAGGTATCTATCTGCTACATTGAAAATAATTAATTATAGTTTAGTTACTACTTACCTAGTGGAATCTTTGGGATTATTAAAAAATTATATATCTTTATTTGTTCTATTATTGTTCATACAAACAGTACTTATAAACCAAATTTACACTTTTTCATATTTCATTTGATAGTAATAATAATACTTTGAATAATAAAATTTGACACTTATTATTCTTTACATAACCCTGAATTTGAGCACTGGCAGAGCCGGTTTACAGCAGTTTCTCTCGGTATGTGACGAGCCGCCAGTGCTTACACACACACACAAACGCGCGTCTAGTTTGTAGTAGTGTAACTATCATAGCACGGTTGTATGAAGCTTTGCTTCTGTACAGTATGGTTTTTTTACTCACGTGGTAATACTGTAATTTATTTAAATTTAGTACATACAATATATATAATAACAAATATGGACTTGATATTCTAAATTCAAATAAATTTGAGATTTCTAGAAAAAGGACAGTAACAAACTTCCCATAAAATTGTAAAAGTATGTGAAGCACATATTCTGTTTAATTTTTTATTCAACTTTATTTTAATTTTTTCATACAAAGTGGCAATTTCATAGCTATTTTTGATACATGCTGCTTTCGATTGAAATCATAATTTACTCTGTAGCATTTAAACCAGAAAATATAGAGATAACCTGTACAGTGCAATCTTACCTTACGTGTATTACATGGTAGAGCTACACGTCGCTTAGTCGGAGAAGGACCACACTCGCACAGGATACCAGTGTAAAGTAGTAGCATAATGCTGCTATGTTTTGTATGGTGAGTGATGAGCACCGGAGAGATGCTTTTTACAGGTAATTAGTCAACTTACCTCACAGGTGACAAAGTAAAAGATAAGCCGAAAAACAAAAAGAACCTGCATTTTGTTTGTTAATTAAGGATTGATGTGCGTATCTATAGGCCACAACCTTCACTTCCAATTAGGTGAAATGTGTGCTTGTTTGTGTCTCACCTTTCTTTAAAAAAAATGCATCTAGTCATTTTTTTAAATTAAAGAATTGTGTAATAAGTTAGTTATCAGCTTAGATTAACACTTAAATTGAAATTTAAATTGTCAGTTACATACATGGCTTTGCACTTGATAACAGAGGGGATAAGAAGAGACCAAAGAGCAGTGAGATGGAAAGTTGTGAAAGTAGAGATAGGTGGCTAGCCCATCGTCTACATCATAACAAACCCACTACCCCGTTAGTTGTCTTTTATGACATGGGCAAGTAACACAGTTTGCACATTATTTTTAACCGAATTCAAAAAGGAGGAGATTCTCAATTCAAGTGTATGTTTTTTATGTATGCTACACAACATCTTCGCAGATTGTGAAACAATTTTGATGATTCTTTTTTTTATTAAATAGGTTATACTTGGTCCCATATAAGTTTGCATAAAAAATTCCTCCTACTCTTAGGAAATAAATAACTTCTTTAATAGCAATTTGAAGTCTGTTTTCACTTTTTGTTAAAAGTTATTATTATTTGATATAAGTCCCACATAAACATGGGACCTGTATAAGCCCCAAACATGTTATTTACAGTACTATGATATTGCGGATGGATGATCACTCTCTCCCTGAATGACTAGCCGCAAAGTAACTAATATTAATAACTTAACTCAAAATAAGGAATAATTTGCTTCATATCTGTCATTCACATTTTGTAATTTAATGGTGGCATAACTTATTCATACATTCCACTACACAATCTTTTGGTCTCATCTACACATGTTTCTAAATAAACATCTTTAATATGCTAGATCAACGTCTCCAATCCGCCTATATTATATACAGCCTGGTGATGATAAACTATGTTAGGTGATTTAACAACTCATTTTTTCATCAGTATGTACACTTGAACTGATTTAGATTTTTAACTAAAATAGGATATTATTTGGCGGCAGGTCTTCTCCTAGCAGGGTGGTGGGCGGTCGGTGGTTGCGTCAGGTGCGTCAAGCGAGTCGCAGTCGCCGAAACAGACGTAACGTGACGTCGCCTCTGCCGCGGTCTGCCAACCGACACTTGAACCGAGTCACTGACACAGAGCCACGCAAGCAAGTCGAACTAAGGAGAAGCTCACGTTTAGTGAATACTTTGCCTAGGTCTGATTACTCTATTTCCGAACGCTGGTCCTACGGAGCGGATTTCTACGAAACTCGCTACGATACCCGCTACGATACCGACTATAAGAGTGGAGACTCCTGGAAATACTCAAGTAGTACTAACTCAAAACGCGGTCGGAACTCGTCGTATGACCGAAAGAAACAAAAACATCATTCAACGTCCGCCAGTAGCACCACAGAAGAGTGCGTCGCATATTGCACACGTTCACGGACTGCTCTTAAAACCACTGAGAGTGTTTGTGAGCAGTTACCAAACAATTTAAAAGACCAAACATTATCACAATTATCCCTCAACCAGGACACTACAGCAACATCCATACAGGAGTTCCAGTTAAATCAGACCGAAGGTGGATTGTTGCCGTTAGACGAGAGGGACTTTGCCTATTCACCATTCAGCTCGTCGACTATAACCGAATTGCTCGATTCTGACTATTCAGTATACAGCCCCACTGCTAACCGCAGGAAAGGCAAAAAGAGGAAGCGATCTTCACATCGCTCGCTATCTAGTAGGAAAAGTAATTGTCTCCTAGATCTCGAAGATTGTAAAAAGAAATTTAAAATAGATCCATATAAAGAGGTCGACGAAACAAGCGAAGACGCTATTTCGGACAGCCGCCCAGAGTACGATTCAGAAAGACCGGAGTCAGCGTCTGCATCGCATTCTTCGTGTACTTATTTGCTACGTAATAGACATAACCGTGAGCTCGGACCACCAACTTCAACCGTTATAAGCGATAATTCAGGTAATCTACCAATTAAATTATTATGATTATTACACTATATGTGTAGGAAAAATTGCATTTCCATATTGTTGTTGTGTTTTTTCTGCCGACTTCCAAAAAGGAGACTGTACTCAATTCTACTGTATGTTTTTTATCTTTATTTTTGTGTTACCTCATAACTTTTTACTGGGTGAACCGATTTGGATGATACTTTTTTTATTTGAAAGCTGGTACTTCTCGTGTGGTCCCATATGAATTTGATCAAGGTCAGACCAATAGTTTTTGAGTTATTCTTAACAACTCATATTGAAGTCGGCTGTACAAAATTTTTAATTTTAAATTATTTTTAACTGAAGTGACAATCAAACTTACAGACCACCTGACATTAAGTGGCTGTGGCCAACTTTGTACCAAGGCTATAGATGCATTGTCACCTCTGAGAACTAAAATGGAACAGCTCACAACTTGTAATTACACTATTATTATCTCTATACCTTAGACCTTATAGACCGGAACCAGCAGTGTGAGCGCCCACTCAATCCTAGGCAGGAAATTAGACCTGACACCTGAATGGATTAGGGTGAAAACTGTTGTCATATTTTATCATGTCACATGTAATGAATGTGTGTCAACAGTTGATATGATTATTTCTGTTCTAATTACTTCAAAATAATGGTTTGTTATATGTTTATATGTTACATGTTAGTCTGGCTGTACAGCTTGTTTATAATGTTATCATAACTATCAAGTGCCCGACATTCATAGTAGATAGTTTAAATGAGTTTATTGTAACTGAACACAACTATGTCCACAGTGAACACTTCTACCAGTGAGGTGGTTCAACATCAAACGGTGATCGAAAGGAAGAGTTCATCAGAATTTCGTGGAAGGACCGTTACTCCACCACCTTATAAGGATTTACAAGGCAAGCTATTAGTTAATTATAAATAATCCTTATTAATGAAAATTTATTTGGATGTATCATTGACATTTTTGTTTTGTTTTACAGAGGCCAGTTCATCAAAAGCGTCTAGTAGTGAGAGCAAGCTCCTTATTGTGCCACGCGACCTACCTTATTTGAGACAAACTAACGCTCGTAGGGTAAGGAAGTGTAAAATTCTGGCATGGGGTCTGTAATCTTTTACATATATTGACCATATAATTATTGCTGATTTGCAGAGTATCGCTGCTGCGACGGGTGCGACCCTGGGTGCTTGCTTGACGAGAGGTGCCAGCACTTCGCAACGTCAGAGGCAGGACACTGCTTCTAAAAGACAGGTTTGCTTATCCTTTACATATTTATAGACAAATTAGGAATCTTATTGGATACACGTGCATACTGTAAACACTAGGAACAAACATAAGCTTGTAATACCAGTTACTAGACTCCACAGAATCAGTAATTCGTTTATGGGGCAATGTATACGCTTTTACAACAAAATCCCAGAATATATTCAAAGTCTGTTTAAAAGTTTTCTTAAAGAAAAACTGTATGTACAAAAAGGCTTATTATAATATCAAGGAATACATGAATGAAAATAACCCCTGGGAATAAGGTGATCGCCACCATGCTGGTTCTATGAAAAATCATTTAAAATTTTATAAACGTTTGAAAAAAAAATCCCGCTGGGTTTCTTGCTGGTTCTTCCCAGGACAGAGGTATTTTCCAAACCAGTGGTAAATAAAAAAATGACTTTCAATAAGAATTATGTAATAATCAATATTGAATAAAAAATTATTTTATTCTATTCTATTCTACTCATAATATAGATTGTGTAGAAAATGTACAAGACAAAAAAATAATGGAAGCCTTTGTCCTTAAAGTCGTTAGTCTTAAATTCCTTAAAATGCATTAAAACACTAAATATGAATATATCGACGCAGCTTTAACTTATATCAGATCAAGATCGTAATTTCAAGAGGAACGTCATTTCTATGGTAGTATGATAACAATATTAATTATTGTCTTTAAAAAATTAAAATATATTGAAAAGTAAAAGTTGACATCAGGTGCACTGAAAGTTGGTTTGTGATTTCGATTTTATGTAAAAATCGTCTATAATAAAATGCATGTTGCGTTGTAGGTGGCGGGCAGCGAGGAGGCGGGAAGCAGCGCGGCGGGCGGGCGGCGGGCGCGAGCTCGCGACATGCCGCAGCCGCAGCCGGCCTCAACGCGACGAGACAAGCGAGGCAAGCATTCTATTGACAACCTTCATTTATTACTCATAAGGGATAAGGGATACAGTCTAATAACGTGGTTAGCTTGCCAACTCAACCTGTTAATTTCATATTGATGCTTATATTTTGTTCTCTCTGTGGCAGCATCGGAGGCAGAGTTTTATATGCTGTTTCAATTATTTACATCGCATTAGTTCACGCAATGGTACATGTCAAAATAATTATCTCTTCGGCGCTCTTTCGCTCTAAATTACATTCACACTCTCAAGACGTTCTAATTACTTTCTATCACGGGGAGTACTCTGAGGAATTGTTCGGATTAATCCCAGCCGCCAAATTTCACGAACGCACATCGCGGCAGAACTCCCGATACCATCCACACTATCTGGATGATTGGCAGTCCACCACTGTGCGATTTAGAAGATGTTTTCTTCCTCGCACGACTTCTTGTGGAATCGATTACCATCAGCGATTTTTCCGGACCGATACGACTTAGGGACCTTCAAGAAAAGAGCCTACTCCTTTTTAAAAGGCCGGCAACGCATCTGCAATATCCTCCCTGGTGTTGCAGTTGTTCATGGGCGGCGGTAGTCACTTACCATCAGGTGAGCCGCATGCTCGTTTGCCCCCTCTCCTATAAAAAAAAAATTATCGTTGCAATATGCCAAAACGAAAATAGTACGCGGGTGCACTTTGCGGTTATGGCCGCAACTGAGGGAAAGCAAAAGAGCAGTATGTAAATACTCGCTCGCGCTGGCGCTTTCCTGTCTTTGACCTCGCATAAAAACCAATTCGGAGGTAGGGGCAGAAGGAATTACCCATTTATATACTCGTGCTGCCAACTTCTATGGCACTCCCTGCTCACGGTCTCAGGAATGTAAAGCTTTACGAAAGACTGAGAAGAATAAGTGACAAGTGGTAAATTTAAAGTTTTGTATAATCGACTTCAATATGTATTTATTGTTGATTTTTTAAAAACCCCTCAACCGATTTCGATAAAATTTAAATGGAACCCTGGAAAGTATACATAAAAAAAGTGATTCCGACGAATTGAGAAACTCCTCTTTTATTGAAGTCTTTTGAAAAGAAACAGCGGATCTAATATGGTTCTGTTGCCGAACCGAGACACAGAAACGGCATTTTGTAAGTGCTAACTACTAAAACGGCTGTGTACGGCTTTTTAAATTTCTATCTAAATTTTAATGTCCAAAATTATTATTTTAAAGGTTGTGCTAAAAAGGGATAATGGCATAGAGTGCTATAAATACATATGTATTTAGTAGTAACAAAATTGATCAGATTTTAATAGAAAAAAAGCTTATCTTCTATCATTAAGATCATTATTACAAACGAGTTTTATGAAAGCGCATAGTAATGACCTTAACGACACTATTAAAGTGTAATTATGTTACGACAGCAACACTAATTAATATATACAACAACACACAATATTATTGTCACTTTTATGTTAAAAGGCTTAATTTCTACAATTATTTTCAGGCAAAAGCAGCCTGGGTTCTTGTGCCAGCACTGGTGGCGCGTCCAGCCGGTCCCACCCCCAGCCACTCACCACGGTAATTAAAATTAGAGTGCATAAACCAGTTTTTTCTTCCAAAGCGATTGGTGTTTAACAGTGTTACCCTTTGTGCAGGGTGCAATCGCGTCTACATCTTCTTCACCGCCGGTGTCAGCGTCAGCCGTAACGATGCCTGACAGCGCATCTAGCGATGCGAAGCCGAAAGGCAAAGGTAACCTAAACTTTATACATATTATTTATTATAATTAAAGTAATAACTTCATACATATTATTTATTATAACTGTTGTATTGCACATATAGACCGCGAAGCGGAGAAGTGCTCTATTGTCACCAAATCAAAAAATCGTGATCCACTTAACTTAAATCACTTCCACCAGCTTTATGTTGTTGCACTTATATAATAAAAAAAGTTAACAATAGCAAAAAGAGATTTCAATTAATTCTTCTGACGTAGTTATAAGATTACTTATATCGTATATTATAAAAAAAAATAATTGAAAATAATTTTACTTAGACGTCAGTTAGTTGGTATGGATGTGAACAATTTTATTAGCTTTAAATTTTAATCCTTAAGAAGTGTTTTAAATTACACTATTATAAACCGTCCCGGTCGAGGTGTGCACTTTTGAATTTTCCAAATTTTTTAAAAACAAGAGATAATATTTATTCTATTTGAATAAAGGTGTTATTTTAACACCCTATTTTTATATTTTTTTACATACTTTTGTCCAGTGAGTATCGGTGTCGTAATGCCGTAAAATCTAATGGCTTCCGATAGATGGTAGTATACCATATTGTTTATCATCATCATCATCATTACAGCCCTTCACAAGTCCACTGCTGAACATAGGCCTCCCCAAGGAATGCCACAAAGCACGGTCCTGAGCCACCTGCATCCATCGACTTCCTGCATATCTTACCAGGTCGTCACTCTATCTAGTGGGGGGACGCCCTACACTTCGTCCGCCGCTACGAGGCCGCCACTCGAGAACCTTTTTTCCCCATCGGTTGTCGTTTCTTCGAGCTATATGGCCGGCCCATTGCCACTTCAGCTTACTAATCCGTTGGGCTATGTCGATCACTCTGGTTCTACTGCGGATATCCTCATTTCTAAATTAATCACGCAGAGAAACTCCGAGCATAGCCCTCTCCATAGCTCGCTGAGCGACCTTGAGCTTCCTCATACGGCGAGCAGTGAAGGACCACGTCTCATTTCCATAGGTCATCACTGACAACACGCACTGGTTGTACAGTCTTGTTTTCAAGTTTTGAGGTATACCTGACGAGAAGATGTGCCGTAATTTCCCGAACGCTGCCCAACTGAGTTGAATCCGTCGATTGACCTCTCGGTCGAAGTTGGACTTACCTACTCGGACTATTTGCCCCAGGTAAACATACTCGTCAACAACTTCGAGCTTAGTGCTCCCAACTACTACCGGCATAGGTGTGACATGGATATTAAACATAATCTTTGTTTTGTTCATGTTCATCTTAAGACCTATCCGTTGGGAAACACTATTGCGGTCATTGAGCATAGTGCTTAGGTCCTCCAGCGATTCTGCCATAAGGACTATATCGTCGGCTCGCCGTTGATGTTAATACCGTATCCTTACCAGTTCAGAAACTTGAAAACGTCTTCCAATGCAGCGATGAAGAGTTTCGGGGATATAACGTCACACTGTCTTACACCTCCCTGCAATTGGATAGGTTTTGTACTCTGGTTCTGTACTCGGATAGCCATCGTAGCCCTACTGTACAAGCACTTCAGCACTTCGACATACCGACAGTCGACTTGGCATCGCTGAAGGGACTGCAGCACCGCCCAAATTTCGACGGAATCAAAGGCTTTCTCATAGTCCACATACGCCAGACATAGTGACAAATTGTACTCCTCGGACTTCTGTCCAATTTGCCGAAGGGTATGTATGTGGTCCATAGACCACATACATACCCTTCGGCACCATAGCACCATAGTGCTAAAGCCTTTTCGGAAACGGGCTTGTTCGGGAGGCTGGAATCGTCAAGTCTGCGCGCGAGACGATTCGTAATGATTCTCGAAAACAGCACGTAGACGCGGCTCAGAAGGGAAATCGGTCTGTAGTTCTTCAAGAGAGCGTTGTCACCTTTCTTGAAGAACAAGACCACCGCACTTCTGCTCCACGCCTCCGGTGTAATGCCACCATTGAGGACGGAATTAAAGAGCTTCTGAAGGACTTCAAGTACCGGTTTTCCACC